TCTATCTATCTATCTATCTATCTATCTATCTATCTATCTATCTATCTATCTATCTATCTATCTATCTATCTATCTATCTATCTATCTATCTAAGTTTTTACAATTGGCATCTGAAAAAGGAATAGCTTGAAGAACCCAGCTTCTTCCACTTGATTATGTATTTACAAAAGTATTATCAATTAGCGTTCAGTTTTCTTGCACATTCAACTAGGCTTTAAAATTAAGGGACAGAGATTCATGTAAAGTCTGCAGTTTTTAAATGCTCATTAGTTTTCAATAGGTCACATTACAACTAATTTTCCTCTATGAACCATAATACTCATTATCATAGAGCAATACTTTAAAATACTGAAAACTAACATACTATATAAATATATGATATCTATAAAATATTATCTTATAATGTATTAATATAAAACTTTGTGTTTATGATATTATTTATTTGTGAAATATATAACTTGTATATATCTGCTCCAGTTTGAGTTTAGTTTGATTAGTTTTTAATCTGAATGTTAATATTAATATTAATTATATTATCTCTGACTCGTCTTTCATGTTTCCCTGTCTTCCTTCTTAAAGGCTTGTTTTTTCTTGTTGAGCAATTGCTTTCAGACCACTTGTGATCCATGGTAGGGCTCGGCGATGTGGCTAAAGAATAAAATCTTGGTGATGATTTAAGATTTTAACCGATTTAAATATAAGTATTAAAAAATACATACTTGTATTTTAAATTAGGTTTACTTTATTCAGAAATATTTTGTGCAAAGTAGCAAATTTTTAGCCAACAATAAAGGCATTGAAAAAAAATTTAAACTTAACTTCATAACATCTTGTGCAAGTAACACAAATGTTTACCCAACAATAATTGTACAGATTTTTTATCAGTAAAAAATGTACACCTATATATTCAGTACAGATGCAAGAAAAAAAAGAGACTCATTTGCAGAAATATAGAATTTATCGAACAGTCAATAACTTGTATTTATTTTCTGGAAAATAGGTGGTTTGTAAACAGCAGCTGTTGAGAGCCCAGTTCACATTGTTATAATGCACAGTTAAACTCATGTAGGGCTGAAGAGATAGACAGAACCAAAGGTCTGTAGTAGTTGCAAATAACAAAGCAGAGTCCACCTTTTCACAGAGCGGTTGTTGTGTTTTGACTCACCGGGTCATATTTTGGAGAAGCCAGGCTTCTCTACTCTGTCACTAGGCACCATGTCCATCCTTATATGAACAGCTACAGCATCGGTCATCTGCTTCCATCGCACACTAAGCTTTTCGGATGGCACGCTTTAGAAAATGAGACGGCCAGGGTTTGTGGTCTTTTCTTGTCGTGGTCGTGTTTGTCTTTGCCCCTTGTTACTGACGTTGCACTCCCAAAGCTGAGAGCCCTGCTCCCATTCTGTGGGGTGCCTTTGCTGGAGATGCTGAAACAAGTTAGTTGCACACTACTGTAGTCTGTTCCACATTGGCCTTGTCAATGCCGTACCACTTCCATATAATCNACGCTTTAGAAAATGAGACGGCCAGGGTTTGTGGTCTTTTCTTGTCGTGGTCGTGTTTGTCTTTGCCCCTTGTTACTGACGTTGCACTCCCAAAGCTGAGAGCCCTGCTCCCATTCTGTGGGGTGCCTTTGCTGGAGATGCTGAAACAAGTTAGTTGCACACTACTGTAGTCTGTTCCACATTGGCCTTGTCAATGCCGTACCACTTCCATATAATCAACGAAACACAAATCCCTTTTCTGGGTACCAACCCTTCAGACTGGGCAGCTACCATGGCGTGAGTAAACAGTACAGCATGCTATCAAGCGGAAGGAGGAAAGAGGCGGCAGAAGAAAACACTTAAGTAAAAAATGCAGAAGAAGAGAAGTTTTACGATTTAGCAAAATTTCAATTTGTGCACTTTTAAAAACATGAATTAATCTAATCAGCTTGATTTATCGCCCAGCCCTAATCTATGGTAGGGATGGCGTTATCTACACAGAAGTTTATGTAATCAGTCACACACTCAGTCATAACATTGATGTCCTCTCCATGTTGGTGACACAGTGCATCCCAGTCTGTAGCCTCAAAACAACCTTGCAGGGCTTCTTCAGCTTCCTGTGACCATCTTCTTACAGTTCTTTGTAATGCAGGTTGTCTCTATTAAAGTGGCTTATAATCTGATCAGAGAAAAACAAGATTGTGATCTGATTTTCCCAAGATGGGGTCTTACTTAAGAGATGTAGGAGTTATTGACATTAGCATAAAACAAGTGCAAAGTTTTGTTTTCTCTGGTACAGCAGCTGATAAACTGCTGGAACGTTGGCATTGTAGAAGAGAGTGAGACATGATTAAAATGACTAGTTATTAAAATAAATGCATTTGGCTGTTGTGTCTGCAGCTTAGCAACAACAAAACTGATTACATCACATGCAGAAGGTGGAATATAAAAGGTTGCTAACAGAACACTGCTGAACTCTCTGGGGAAATAATATTGCCAATTTTATTTTTGGAAAATTGCTGTAAAAATTCCTGTTAAAATAGATCAATTAACTTACCTTCTGTTTTATATTTATCTTCAGAATATCACTCACAAGTCATATGAATTATCTAATATTGGCAGGTCTCTGAATCAATGCAATTTCTTATTCTTGTAAATCCATAAAGTACAATTTTCATTTTTCTAGTTTTCTAGAGAAAATTATTTTTTTTGTTTTTAAACCAATAAAATAAAGAGAAATATACCAATGACACGTCCAACCACTTATTTTCTTTAATGTGATCACCAGTTCCTTGAAACTGATCCAGATCTTGCATGTCTCTGATAACCAAAACATCCATCCGTTCTGTTTTACCCTCCATCTTATCACTGCTTTACAGTTTGTTGTCCAGGTGTCTTGAAGATTCTTTCATTTTCCATGATTCTTGCTTTTATTGCAATTGCAGCATTTGTTCTTGTGAGATGCTAATTCATATTTACTCCAAAGGGTATACCCTTTTGCTTGTTTCTTTTTAAATAGTTTTCTGTTTTCTGTTCACAAATTCACACAGATCTTCAATCTTCTTGTTCTTTTATTGGATCGCAGCCTTCAGTTGCCTCACTTTATTTCCTTCTGCTTCTTCACTTTACTTAGTTCCTCTAACATTAAGATCAATGACTCTTTCCCGTCATCCATTTCTTTTGCAGTAGATTATTTCACCTTTGCTTTGGATCTCGTATTTTTACTGCTTCTCTAACCAATGCCCTCTTTGCCCAATGAGTTAAAGTGGACAGCCATGTCTTTGAGTTTTTGCACTTCGGCTTTATTTCCCTTTTTATGATGATGACTTGAAATATGCTTTGTCTGATGAGGAAGCAATGGTTCTATTATATAACATAATCCTGCTTTAAAGTTCTGCACAGCTGTCTGCATGACAAACTGTTTTTTACGGGTCTTCATGATTCTGTTTATTCCTCCCACAGAACAGGGGATCATCTGCACACCTGAAAAAGTGTTAAATGTCTTTATTTTAAAGCTTGCTATTTTCATCAAACCATTGAAGAAAAAAACAGAAATCTAAAAGAACTAGGACGGATTGCTGTATCTCTTTAATCTCACATAGATGAACCTCAGAAACTTTCACATAAATGACCAAAGATGTACCCTGAGTAGATTAAACCATAGATTAAATCAATCAAATAAATACTAATGAATAGTGACAATACTTGGCCATCAAGACCCATGTTTGCTGTTCCATATACCCTATTTGTCCCACCTGAACAAGAATGGACACATAACCCTTTGCCACAATATAGCATATTCTCTTATCACATGTTTACTTATCACAAAGCATTTTTTAAGCTGTCAAGTCATGGACTTATAACATATGATTATACACCTCCTAATCAAATATGTATGGGCTATTTATTTAGAGGCGCTAAACAGAATTAGTTCGGCACTATTTCTTTTTATAGTGTTGTAATCATCAGACTATGTATTAGTCAGAGATAAGATCAGACACTTAATTTAGTTTAACGTTTATCATCATCATTCAGAGAGACAGAGCACTAATTAGTCTAATTAGTATCCTAATGCATGCATTAAATTGGTTATAATAATATTAACTTGTCTGTAGGCTCTCTCCAAGGTAAATTTAATAGACAATAGACTGACAGAAAGTTTTTCTGTGTCTGCTGAGTTTATGGTATAGCGATTTGGCAGAAAGGGAGGAGACCCAATGCATAGAGAGACCCGAGCAAATGGAAACGGCATACTTTGTGTTGAAAGAAAAGATTTTGGGGGAGAGCTGAGAAATGAACAAAAGAAAATGACTCGTGTCTTTTTCTCTAGAATTTCCTCTGACAAAGGGTTAAGCATCTGTCCATTAGCGGACACAGAAAAACATCTCATATTCACCCTGAAGTGCAGCAATTATGACTCACACTCCATTGTTCCTCCCCCCCCTCCTACAAACATGGATGGACACTAGTATTTGTGGGCAGCAAGAGAAGCAAAATCTTTACTTGAGATGAAACATTTTCTTCTATTCTACAAAAATTTTTTAACTTGTATAAATTCCATTTCATTTTTTATTAAAATGTTTTTAACACAGGCTTTTAACTGATTTACAAACAGGTAATTTATCCATTCTAAATAATCCTAAGAAAGAAATCAAACTGATAACCATAAATAATCCTAAAACAAACAAATTAAATGAAGTAACATCACTGTAACTAAAATAATTTAGATTGATCAATTACAATAGCACGTCTACATTCACTGAACTTATTTGCTCATTAAGTGCTTGAAAACATCCAAAGCACATAATAATGAAATCATTCAAATGTCCTAATAAAATAAAGGATGTTTTAAACTGTAATACTCCATGGAGTGCCTTTCATTAGTCTAGTTAGAACCTCAAACTTTAGCAGATTTATTGGGATTCTATCTCTAACAGTAGCATAAACAAGATCATAATTGTGCAGCAGGAGGGAAAATGATTTAAAATGTAAAACCTATTGATAAGAAAAATGTAAAAGAAAGACATTACTGACTGAAGACCATCAGCAGCCATGTTTTCAGTTTATCTCAAGGCATTTAGTGGGCAGAGAATATAGACATAAAAGCATAGTCATGTGTTAAAATAGCCAAATCAAGGCCCTGATGCAAGGATTAGAGACTGATGTTTCAACAAACTCTTCCTATCCAGCCTGACAAAGCTTTGGGTACCTTGCAAAGAAGAATGAGTACAAATTTTAGTCCTTTGTTGTAAAAAAGCTGGTCAAATTATTCTTTGAAGTTGTTATTGCAGTGAAAGCATGGCGTTGACTCCGGTCACTGAAAAGCTTGCACCAAACCTTTTAAAATAAAGACTACATTATGTTGGCCTTTGTCAAACATTTCCAATAGATCACATTTAAGGTTTTGGTGCTAAGGAGACAAATTGTGGAAAAGATCATCGATTTTTAGCAAAGGGAGACCTTTGTTCTACTTTGGGTAAACCCAACTCCAGTCTTCTACAAACTACTGTGAACTACTTATGGGTCATATTCTTCCTTCCTTATCTTCTTATGATCAACTTTACTCACATTATTAAATATCCACAAACCAACATGATCTTGAGCGCTGGAGGAAATAGTATGAATTATTTTACAGTAAAGAGACAGAAAAGTCATGAGATTTTTCCAGTTTCTCTCAAATTGCAGAGTGGCAGAGAATCAGAGGAGCAGGTATTTCCTCATTTGACCGACAGCTGACTTCCTGGGCTTGGGGTGAGGGCTGCACGAATCATAGCTTCTGACACCTGAAAAGACAAAATAATTAAAAACTTGCCAATACAAACACAACAGACACAACTGAGTGGAATGACACTTTTGCTAAAAGTGTCATTTTTCAGGAGAAAGATGACACTTTTAAACAATTAAAACAATTGAATCCACAATTTGAAATATGTCTAATGGGGCTCTGTAAAAGTAGTTGGTCATGTATGTTCAAAGACATCTGGATGTTAATGACATCTCATTTTTAAAACCAAAGGCTTTACTGTAGCTCTGGCTGTTGGCACAACAGCTCCAATTCTTCAAGGAAAGTTTTGTACAAAGTTTATACGCATGTTTATGGGAATATTTGACCATTTTTCCAGAAGAGCAAAGTCTATATCAGTCACTCAGCCCTGTAAGGAGAAGGCCTGCCATACAGTTTCATCACCCATCTATAATGTGTTTTATGAAGTTTATTGAGGGTCTCTTTTATTCTCTGATATGGGGGCTGGCTCGGAGCTCATCTGCCTCACTGTGTGTTTCCTGGCCGGGGCCACCTGTGGAGCTGGTTGACGGTTGCCTTTTGTATCTCTTCTTCTTTTTCTATGTCTGATTCTGTCTCCTTGAACCCCAGTCAGCCTCAGCACATGGCCGCTCACACTGAGCCTGGTTCTGCTAGAGGTTTCTTTCTGTTAAAAGTGAGTTTTTCCTCTCAACTCTCGCTACAATCATGCTTGATGGCAGGATTACTTTCAAGTCTTTGACTCAATGCAATCAGCTGGTTTTCCTTAGATAGAAAAGTTTGAATCAATCTGACTGTAAGATCTGGTTGAACTGTCTCTGTAAAGTGTCTTGAGATGACATATTTTGTGAATTGGTGCAATATAAATAAACTGAATTGAATTGAATCATGAGTTTGTTAAGCCCAATAAAGTTTCACATTGTTCCTACAGATTCATAAAACTAAACAAACAAAATTTCATCAGAAATCATTTATAGTACCTCTTGTTGGAGCTAAAGAGGTCAACAAAACTGCTAATAAAAAGTCCTAACAGTGCATCAAAACGTTACCCTTCACCCAATAGTCAGCCAATGTTTCTATTGGTGAATGCTAATTTCAGACCTATCCACCGGGTTTCCACACACAGAGACATGACGTGAAATTGTGCTTTAAAGCACTGCATTGTTTTATTTTTTGCATCACACTCACGGATGTAATGTTGAATGTCTCTAAACCACCTATATGCATTGGTCAAGAGCTGATATGATGCCACATGAAATAAAGTTTTGCATGGCTCACAGTTCTCTAAGTTTGTAATTATCTTCAAAATATTTAATTTGACATCAGAATATTATTTCTGAAATTATATTTTGCTACTCTTTGGCTTTTAATCAACACTTCTCTCTTTCTCTCGGCATTCTTACTTCACTGTATTTGTAATCAATTACCTCCTCAAACTTCTTTTCTTTATACTGCGCAGCTCCTTTGATACAGTTCAGTAAAACCAGATCACAGAGAACAGTACCCTGTCAGACAAGGATTAAATACATGTTAAAATCTGGCAATTAAAAAAACGGCCCATTCTAGCCACATGGCAGAAGTTCATACCATCCCAATCGAGGTTAAAGCCGCCATCACATTTATCACTGTTGGAATTAAGCTGAATTTTCTTGCCTGGAAGACAAATGGAGGAAGATATATCACAATTTTAGGACATAATCAAATCAGGCTCTTTTTCCAAACAAGTTCAATTATTTTGTTTTATTTCTTAAAAATTAATAACTCACATAAAGGCTACAGTCTTAGTGTTAAATATTAGCCGTGTGCAATAACTTAATTATAAAGAAACAATATTTATCATATCTTGCTTAAATAGCAACAGTTTAAAGGTACATATATATTTAAAACCAGAGCTTTTCTTTTTGCTTCCACTGTTACTTAAACACACGTACACCCTCAAACAAAAGATGATAGAGGATAGATGGTTGTCTGTCCTGTGCGTCCTTAAGTCGCTCTGCGATTAGTATTAAATGGATTGATGTTTGTGTGAAGGGTGGTTTGTTCCTCTTTTTTCAAAGTGACCAATGATGGACAGGAAGCCAGCTAGTGATTAAGAAAACACATAGAATAGAAAATCCCTTTACTGTCCCACAATGGGGAAATTGTGTGACATAAAGCATTTACATAAAGCAAATAAATTATATTGTGTTTTTATTTAGATTTAGCTGGTCTTTAAAAAAACAAACATTTTGAAATGGTATTCAGTGGACATCCTTTCTCTTCAGAAAAAGCTGTTCATGAAACTCACTGTGCCAGTCACCATGACTTCAAAACGAACTGCAAATGCTTTGTGAAGAGTCCTAAAATCTGTTCCATCCAATGCTTTGTAGTATTTGGCAAATCTGGATTCAATGACAAGAATAAGGTGTTCTTAAGCATCAAGAAAAAAAAAAAGGTAAGGAGAATCCCACAAAAATATCCCTCCGTAGCCTACCTGAAGTTATACCCTTTTGAGACTTTGTTTTTCTCGAAAGGAGAGTTCAATTTAGTAAACGAATACCGCGGAACACAGGAGTCGAGAGCTTCGTCCAGGTTACAAATCCACTCGACTTTTATTCCTATTTCACCACCCTGTCAAATAAAAGGTAGACAATAAAGCTTAGAAGATGTGAAATAAAAAAACTCCTTTTTAAAACACAGTTTTTTATGACAGACATGTTTATCCCTACAGTATATCTTAGGGATGCAGACTATACGATAAATGTATAAAAATTCTGATTTTGACTTAAATCTCTCAGTTTCTTATAGTCAGTTTTTTTGTTTCTCAAATGTTTTTGTGTTTTAACTAGTGTTGCACCGATACCGATACCAGTATCGGACGGGGCCCCGATACTGCCCTAAAATGGTGGTATCGGTATCGGCGAGTACCAACAAATAGGGCACCGATACCATTTTGAGAGCCATAAGTTTATTCAACTATTGTCACCCACTCCTGGTAGGCAATAAAAAGTTCTACTGGATTCACTTTGTATTAGAGTTTTTCCTGCTTCACAAAGGTAGGCAGCAGCTTGACAAAGCCATGATGGCAATTATTTTACATTATTATGGTATCGGTATCGGCCAATACTACACAGCCAGGTATCGGTATCGGCAGAGATGGCAAAAGTACTCACTTTCCGTACTTGAGTAAAAGTACAGATACTTGTGTTAAAAAATACTCTGGTAAAAGTGGAAGTACTGATTAAACTTCTTTACTCAAGTAAAAGTAACAAAGTACAGGCTTGTAAATAAAGTAGAAACCACTTTTTTCATGCCGTTGCCTACATTTTAAATGGATGTCTGCCAATAGGACTAGATCTCAGTTGTGTTCATTTTCAATCATCTCGTCGTCCATGCTACTATGCTAACGCCACCGCCACCAAGCTGCAATGATTTGCCGCCAATGAATACCGCCGAATCTGTCGATTCATCTTGTAGCGGTGCGTCAAATGCAACGTAGATTCCCATCCAATTAGATTGAATTTGGTATTGATGACGTGAAAAATAATAACGGTAACTCCATTGAAACGATTCAAAACTAAAGTAACGAGCCAATTTTTTTAAAATGTAAGGAGTAGAAAGTACAGATATTTGTGTAAAAATGTAAGGAGTAGAAGTAAAAAGTCGACATAAAAAAAAGTAAAGTAGAAATATCAGAAAAATCTACTTGAGTACAGTAACGAAGTATTTGTACTTCGTTACTTCCCATCTCTGGGTATCGGTGCCAAAAAATGGCATCGGCACAACACTAGTTTTAACAATTTTGGTTTGTTTGTTAAGGAGTTGTCTGGTAGCTTAAAGCTTTAGTGCTTTGTATTTGCTTTTCAGTTCTGTCCTTTTTTATTTTTTTTCTGGTTATTTGGTTTATTTGGTTACTCTTGAATTGGTGTTAGTCCGTATTATCATTTTGTGGATTGGTTCAGATCTCTCTATATTCTCTCTGTGTTAATTAGTCTGCCTCCCATAGTCTGGTACACCCCATTCCCCTGGTTAGCCCCATTCTGATGTCCCTAGCATTTGGTAAGTATATTATCCTGCTAACTTAGGTCCAATTTCAGAACAGCAGAAACATATGAAATGTTTTGTGTTTCTACAGCTTGGTTCTTCTTTTTTCAAGTTATCTTGTAGGTAAATATATGAGGATAATATCGTAAAACATGTCTTTTTTTTTTTTACTAATTTGGTTTTTGAGTCCTTATTTTCAGTCATTTTCTAAATTGAAGGTGAAGTTTCCTGTAATTTAAATATCTCTATTTATTAAAAAGTAATCTAGACATTACTCAGGTTGTAAATTTTTCATATCAACGTTTAGGTCAGTTGCTTTTCCCAAGCATACAAAATAAACCAGACTCATGTTTGATCGAACCATTTAGCTCTGAGATAAGGAGAAATATAAGACCTCTGATGCAAGCTTCTCCACATCCTGCTGTAGTTCATTCAGAATATAGCCCACTCGAAAGATGGGACAGAAAGAATCTGTGAGCTTGTCATAGCGGCACTTGAAATTATCTCCTTGAATATTTCCTCTGAAAAAAGAAAAGGTTTACACACATATCAAGGATCAGATTTTGAAATTATACATCTGATTGTTTTAACACTTTTGCTTCACACTTATTCTAAGCTAAGAAAACTATTTTTAGGAAATAGAAATGACCCACCTGGAGACATTGAAGAGGGGGAAGCGAATGCTGTTTTTGATAAAAATAGTGAAATTCACAAATTCAGCCATTGTCGTCCTGTAGACGGTAATAACATTAAGATTTTAGTGACAGAAATAAATCAGGCATGTGCAAACCTGTGTGCGTGTGGCTGACTCTCACGTGTTCTTTTTGTCATCCTCTGCTGGACACCATCCTTCAATCTCACAGTAACCAACAGGTGTGTTGCATACACCTGTTATTCTACCTTTTAGAGAAAAGACAGAAATCTATTGCCAATTTGTGATGAATAATAAAAAGGCTGTGTAAGGGGACATTTCCACAGGACAGTTTATGTGTCTAAGATGAGAAACCTGGGACATCCACAATAGAAACCAGAACACATTAGTGGTGTAATTACAAGTCACTAACAAACACAGGAAGCAAAGTTGAGCATTACAATAAATTAACATATATAACATGTTTCCACATGACACATGTGGCTGCCCTAACAGGCCTGGGGTCTCATGTATATATAAATAAAATGTGCAGCTTTTATACGAGAATTTAGCAAGTAACAACTTTGGTCTGTAAATAAATGTGTTAATGAATTAGTTTTAATACATGGCAGGGGATCTTTCCCTTGTCCAAATAACCATAAAGTTAAAAAAGCAAAAAATAAATGAAGTGAAATAGAGGCCTGGAGTCCTGATTTGGAGGCACATTTGCGCATCTTAAATTAGTTGCACCATTATTAAATCAATATGCTTTATATTTAAATCTACATTTTGCTCTTCTGCCAATATTAGTGCAGTTGATAGCCTATCTATTCATGGGCAGTTTATTGGAATTTTATACATCTGAGCAACATAAAGATGAGGTAAACCCATACAGCCGTAATGAGAACTTAGAACTATTTCCTTCTACAGCACTGGGACAATGTTCTGGCTAGAGCTCCAAATGTATGACCTGCTATTCCGTAAAAATTAAAAAAATATCCACTGGACTTGGTTTTCAAGATTTGAAGACGTTTCGCCACCTCTCCAGGAAGCTTTCTCAATTCAAATGTCTGGATCCGCAGTGAGTTTGAGTCTTATATGGATAAGGCCTTGTATTGCTTGGAAACATGCAAATGTGAAACGTCTTCAAATCTTGAAAACCAAGTCCAGTGGATATTTTTTTAATTTTTACGGAATGACTATGACCTGGATGACTGAGAACCTTCATCAGCATATGACCTGCTATGTAAATGTGGACTGTCTACATCTTGTCCACATTAGGGATCTTCATATCTAGCTTTTAGTTTATGCTTATTGACAAAGAAGGTGCCCCTTGAAAACGTATATTGCTTCCCAGCTCACAGACCAAAGTAGATTTATATCCACAAATGTTAGGCTCACCGTTGGCTTGATTGGAGTCAAGATGTTTCTCACAGTCTTCGTCTGTGCTACAGTTAAACTTTGTGTCTTTCTGAAATGAAAACAGAGAGAAAACGTGAACATCTAGTATATCAGTTTCTCTTATGTTTGAAAAAGATCTGCACACCTATGAAAATAAAACCAAGTAGTATGTTTAGATAGGGGTTTTACAGGACAAACAGTAACATTCAGCAACCATTCACTATTTTACCACCAGGACTGATAAATTAAGAAAAGGTTTTTCCAAGTTAACTGATAAAAATGAGGAAAATCCAGGTTTAAAATGTTCTAAATGTGTCCTCACCTCTGGACATGTTCCTTGTACCTGGTTGTCAGTGGTTATTATATTAGTGATGATGCTAAACACACCTTCACCCTGAAACACACCACAGCACACATTTGTTGATGTAAATATGCATTCAGAACAAGTAGTTGTGGTTACTGCTTTTTCTAAGGACTTTAAGTGTGTAGTTTTGTGTTATACACCTGAGGAGGGTGGATGTAGTCTGCCACATCCATTATTTTGCTATTAATTTTGCCAAAGCCCTTGACTTTAGTGATGACGGATGACTCGATGGCTGTATCGGCCACCTGGTAAGCTCTTTCATACAGGAAGACATAGCTGCATGACAAATAAAGCAACATACAAGGTTAGGCTCAGTTTCAGATCTTGCCTTTCAGTCAGCAAAAAACATTTGTGAAATCAGCTCTATGTTTGGAGGATTTCTGCTAATCTGTTCTAAAATGTCACTCCAGCTTGTATAACGGGTTACGAAAAAATCTTCATGATGCAGATGTTTTAAATGAATTTTCCTCTAGATGTGTGGTTGCTGGTTTTACCTTTAAATCAGAAAATCGAGGAGACTTCAAGAGTAGCTAAACTTATTAAAGGAATTTTTAGCAAATAAATGGTATGAATGGGGCTTTATAAGGTACTCAGATTATATAGTCATAACCAATTTAATCTCACTTTCCTTCATCCTGATCATCCACCCCACCTCATCCTCTCTGCTAATCCTCACACTTCGGTTGGGGTACTTTTAATTGTCGCTCCTCTACGTTACAAAGTCAAGTATTGTACTTTCTACTCCACTACATTTGGAAGAAGTTGCGTGTTACTTGTTTCTTTTGCCTCAGCTAAGCTTTATAATCTGCTGCTGCTGATTTTCTTTCTTGAAGAAAGTTTTGACATGTAAGATAGCAGCCCTTAGGACTGAATTTGGACACTATTGTTTTAGAGACATAGTTTATAAGTTTTATTAAGGCGTTACCATGTGGCCAAGTTCTTCAGCAGTTCTCAAATTAGCAATTTGGTTTGTTTGAGGTAATAGATTCAACATTAAACCTTCATTCTATTTTTTGTGCCAAATTGTCTTACCTACGCAGAACAGGGGGAAAAAAAAAATAATTTCAAGAAAAATTTACCTATTAAATATGAACCGCTTTACAGGGAATGTATACGCTTCACAGAGAGAAGTAGGGTGTAGTGCGAGTATTGTAATCAAGCCTTTAAAACACTTTTAGCATATCAGTCCATGCAATGTCATTTGTTGGCAAACTGTTGTAATTACATATTAAATAATATATGATAATGTTCACGCTAACATTGCTGGCACCATATCAGAAATGCCTCATTATTTTAGATTATATCGCTACTCCATCTACAGTATTAGCAACTTAAAACTATATAAATTGTTAAAATGTTGATGTATTGATTTAAATGTAAAATGTTAAATTTTGATTAAATGTTCTTTAATAGAATAGTCGTAGTACTATTGATTTTAACTCTCAAGAGGAAAGGAAAGGCAGTTGGGTAATTCTGATCCCTGTGGGCTTCCTGGATACTGTAGCTGTAGGCCTGCTTGAATTAAACTAAATTCACTTTTGCACTACCAACTTTTATAATCCTTTTAAATAGGACACAACTTTTGCACCATTACTTTTTTCTTTTTTTCTCCTACATTGTGTACATTCTAATAACTGCTGCACTTTATGCTGGTGATGTTTATCTGACTCCAACTGCAATATAATCACACTGTTATAAGCTGTAGGCAACGAAATACAGACAATACAGTTTGTCTAAGTCTAAGACTAAGAATAATATGAATGCTGAGCAGATCTCAGGCTGAGGAAAACGTTGAGCTCTATGACAGTGTCTTAGCAGGAAGACGTCCAAAACAATAGATTTCTCTCAGAGAGCGTGTCCAACTGATGGCAATCAATTCTGCCAGGGAATTTCCAGACAGAAATTATGGATCCTTTAAATACTACATGCTTTCTAGTTCTTATAGCAGTAAATCAGCCATTTAATGATATGGCAATGAGGGTGAATACTTTTTCACAAAGACGAAAGGTCATTTATATTATCTATCAAATAAGAAGAATCAATCCTCTGAAAACAATATTTTATATATTTTTTTTATCTTTAAATGTCCCAACATTTGTTTATGGATCTGAAACATTCGTGTAACAAAAAAGAAATTAGTAGGACAGCAAATTAGAGTTTATAGCACTGAATATTTAGCTTTATTATTTTTAGAATATAAATTTTAAGCATTAATAAGTAGTACAGGTATCAAGAGTTTAAATGTACAGCTGAATAAATACTGCAAAAAATTGAAATAAGGATTTTATTTCTCTAAATAAGTGCACTCGTTCTTGAATTGAGAAGGTAAGTCAGACACTTTGCCGACGGAACAAGACGATTTACATTTAAATTAAAAACAAACAATTGAATTGTAGTATTTCAAGTGCATATTATCTAATTATCTTATTTTATGAGTAAAAAGACTCCTTCATTGGCAAATCATCATATTTATCTACTAAAATTAAGGATAAATTAACTTTATCTAAGAAATATTTACTTATTTTTAGATTGTTTTAGCAGTGAAGGAGGGATGAGGCAGTGTTTAGACAGTGACTTAGGGAGAAACACAAATACATTTTTGTCACAGTTTTGTTTTTTGTTTTCTCTCAAATAAATATTTCAAAGCTTGGAATACATCCTGAGCTGACAATCTTCACAAAAAACGAAACATCAGCTTTGTTTTTTTTTTTTTTTTCATGCTGAAAAATAAATTACATACTAAAATATTTTAAGTTTTGCATGAAACAGTTTAGATAAAGATATATATATAAAAAAAATACTGACCCGACAAAATATGAGATGATGAGAAGTTGCACCAGCCGGTTAATGATCCCCACAGACCAGCTCTTCACCACCACAGACTTGTTGGTCTCGTAGGTTAAGAAGCTGGTCATGAAGTTCCACGCGTGGGAAGTCATGGCTGTAGGGATTCTTTATTCTGCAAGAAAACTCTTTTCTGGGTGTTGAACCTAAACCTTTGGAGATCAAAATGACTCTCTCCTGCTTCTAATGCAAAGATCGGAAAAGTTATGATTTCCTTGGTGTGTCTTCTTCTCTGAAAATTATGTTCTCTCTCCTCTGTGTCATTGGTTAATGACATAAATCCGACCTCCCCCTCTTTACTCAAAGGAGTAAGAGGAGGATGTTTCTTTCCTTCTTGACCACAAATCCCAATTTCCCATGCCGCTCTCCACATCTCTGGTGGAAATACATAAACACTTAGCCAGAAGCACAAATCAATAAACCATATTTGCACATTAATTCTTTGCCAGTGTATCAGATTCTTCTTGTAGATTTCTCATATTTTTCTCCTTATATCTTCAATTAGATGTCAGTAATTGTCTTAAAAAGACACCAACAGTTATTAAAAAGCAGATGCATCTTCTTCTCGTCCAAACCTTCTGTTTTTCATTACAGAGCAACTAACTCTAATGTATTTTATTTTGATTTTGAGCAATGAAGATGGGAATAATAAGGAAGTGAAAAAAGAAAATATATATTTTTATACTGACTTCCAAATAAAATGAAACTGTGAAGGACAACAAGGGGGCTCAATTCATAACCAAACTACCTATGTAGTAGAGTTATGTAGTTTGATGTTTTAGTTGTTTTTTTTTTTTTTTGGCGTAGAACAATGTTTGTTGGAGGTAATGATTCAGTTTCCAGTTCTAATACTTTTTAGAGCCACCTTTGGCTGAAAATTGAATTTCTAACGATCTTTCTCCTGGTATTACTTGTATTTTGCTTCATTCATATTTCAATCCAACCAGCTTCCATTTGCCTGCAAGAGAAAACAGTTTCTGCATGTAGGTAAAAAAGAATCCACTTTGGAATCGAAGCAGAGCGCCTTTATTTACATGCTTGCTTTCTCCTCTGCACAGATGAATCCTGCTCACTTCTTCATACAACATCAGATTTTTGGAGTGTAATAATTGTTGACATGCAGTTCATGATGTGAGTGAAATGCTCACATCATGAACTGAAATACTCATTAACATGAAATACTAGTTTTGTATGCAGTGATATATATATATATATATATATATATATATATATATATATATATATATATATATATATATATATATATGAAAGCTGTGGGGAAAAATAAGCTATAAAATTAAAATACATTTCTAATAAGTCTATTCTTAATCTATAATTATTATTTATATCATTTCATTGCATCTTTAATTATTCATTTTGAAGTATAACACAGCCACATTATATAATGGCGTGGAAAAAAGAAAGACACACAGGAAATGTTTAATGTGAGCACTCAGAGCTAAAACTCAACATGCATCCATTTAACTTTTTACTTTTAGAAATCTATATATGAACTATAAAGAAATTGAACTTATGGTTAACAAGGAAAAAGCCTAAAAGCAATGTAATATAGTATAAATTAATAACAATTGGTCATATGATATAGGGCCATTTCTAGACACACTCTGGGACAAGAAACATTATGGACTCTCACATCAGCGATAATGTAACTGAGTGACACTGAGTGTTTTCCTCTCTCTGTGCGCGTCTCTGTATGACAGCATGTCATTTTTTAACTACTCTCCATTATGTTGAGGTCTTCTAACCTTCTATGGAAATAAAAACACGTGCAATGGAGATCGGAGGGGCACAAGCTTTGGAGATGAAAGTAGTTGCAATGTTTATCACCCAGTATGGTGTGTTATTGTGCTGGCTAATTATATTATATCACTTGCAAAAAACATAAAACCAAAACACAAGAGCAGATAAAAAAAAATTATACAAAAAGAAATGAGAAGAAATAAACAGATTTAATTCCCTGCAATGAATTCAGATCTGTTATGAGGTAGCGGGCCTTAGGTCTGTCTGTCTGTCTGTCTGGCAAAGTTGACTGAAAAGAAAACATAAAAGTTATTTAAAGTAGCTATACACTTTAATTGATTTAACATGTTATCAAAGGCAAAAATAAAAGAATATTACACAAAAGATTTCTATGAAAATATATGCTTTCTTTCTGTCTAAAAAAAAAAATCTATCTAGTATGCATACCAGCACTGCAGGATATAATTATGACAATAAGTTATTAAAATGTACACCAACATGGTTGGACATGCCTATGTATAAACACAACCCCGTGGTCCTTTGCCGCATACCTCTCCCCCTCTCTCATACCCCCTTTCCTGTAAGCCTACTGTCGAAAAATCGAGCCACTAGTGCCGTAAAAACAAAAAAGGAAAGCTTTTCTTTACAAATAGAACCTGCATTTGGTAAAGTACTAATAAAAAGAGAAAATAAACATGGGCCAAGAATTGACCACTGTGGAACCCCAACATTGGAGTCTAAGCAAGGAGATGTCACCCTATTCACCACTATAAACAGTTTCCTATGGGACAGTTATGAACTATAAATGTCTGCAATGAGTGACTGGACACACTGAGGCCTCCTTATACTCTTTTAATACAAATTGGCTAAGTCCATATGACTCCAGTTCATTAGAATGTTTAATGCTATAAATTATTTTGGCTACTTCATAGTTTAGTATTGCAGTAGTGTTGAAAAGGGACTGGTCCAGATCAATGATATTTTCAATACAGACAGATAGTGTGAAGCACTGTTTAATCTCCTGCACAGAATGTCTGAAGAAATTGTTCAGATACATGTGGAAAGGGGCCCTCTGACGATAAAGTTCTTTATTTTAAGCTCCATATCCTTGTAATTTTGTTTACTTGTTGTCAATCAGCTTATTGAGGCTTAAAATGTCCCCTTGCCTTCTTGATGACCTTCATGAAGAAGTTTGTAGGATGGAACTATTGAAATCTCGTAGGACTCTAAAAATAAATATTCGGGATGCAGCAAATTTCATCAGGGGATGTAGTATTTAGAGTTAAGCTTACAGTTTGTAATAGTTTCAAAAACCACTTCTCCCCAATTATTTGCTATTGTGTTGGTCCATCATATAAATATATGAACATGAATTTCTTTCTCTGTGCAAAACGACAAGTCCTCTGACCTCTAATGTCTGACTGGAATCCCTCAACTCATTAACCCCCATTATGTTAGAGGATATAAAACAAGCTATTAAAGCTTTATTACTTAAGGTATTCCTCCAGGATTCACAAACCTGAAGCACATTAGGAAATTTAACCAGGCAGGATGGTTTGGGCGTGATGGTGAAGGTTGTAGAGACAGTGGCTTCAGACAAAAGCCCAACGCCTGAGTGGAAGGTGGTTTGGAGTGTGGTTTTTAAGAGCCAGACATCAGTGGATGTGATGTTAAGTGCTGGTTTCATTGACAAGGCACCTCCAGGAGGAACCCAGCACAGGAGTCCACTGTTTTTCATCACCAGATACAATATTTCAGTCATTTTCCCTCATAATTCTGATGACTTTTTGCAAGCTGATTTGTTTACCTTTATTTCTAAAGAAAGTTAAACGTATTAAAATGCTGAACGTGGTTATATTGATCACATTGACACTTTAAACAGGACACTATCCGTTCAGAATAAACTGAATTTGAGGTATTGGTGTATGGTTTGTCCGGTTCAGTGGGGAGCAATGTTTTCCAGTCAGAAGTTTGTGGGTTTGATTCCAGCTCTGTCACCCTGGGCAAGGCACTTAACCCCAATCTACCAATATGTTTAATGGTTTGTAAATGTAGCTGTAGTGTAATGGGCTGGAGGTGGTCAGCATGACTAAAAAAAGTGCTTTAAAATATTCAGACCATTTCAGCTGCTCTATTTTTTCTCCCGGGTTGATTTTTTAAAAAACAGTAATGAACTTCAATCATGTTTTCATGCATTTGCTAAAACGGAAACGTCTAATGATCAATGCTGCATTTTTGCTAAAAGTGAGTATGTACAATTTGTTCTGATAGAAGGGAATGCAAAATAATAGACAATGATAACATACTAGTTATAAAAACAAAGCAAGTCAAATAAATGCATCAAATAAAAACCTATCGGAGCAGCAAAGGGAGAGTGGGACCATGTCTCAGAGCAACAACCTGTACATGATCTCTAAGGGTTAGTACCACCTCTGTTATTTGGCTCTAGGATACCAGATTCCAAGAAAGATGGTCTAAAAGCTTCATAATGTATTGAGGAGCCTGAAAATGGACTGTCCTAAAGGCTGAAACCACAATTCTTAAAATAAACCACAAGTGCACAGGAAGTAGGTGCAGGGAGGCCAGAATTGGAGTTAAGTGTGCTCTACTGGTTAGTTTTTGTCAATAGCTTCACTGCAGCATTCTGAAGGCGAGCCTATGAGGTTTCAGTCAAACAAGCAAAGATATATATAATGGCTGAAATGAAAGGAAATAAAAAGCATTTCAAGTTTAGTTTGATGTAAAAGCTTTCTTCGCTCAGATATCTTTTTTTTTTTCATCCATGTTTCAGTATAAAAATCCCCAAAATGTTTTGGAAATATAAATTCCCTTGGATCAAATCCAATTATCCAATTTCATTATTAAGCACTTGAAAAAACCCCTACAGCTGACCAAAGTGCTCCTCCAATACCATTCTGTATAAATTGGGCCACAAGTTAACTGCATCTCTAGTAATTCTGGGGGAATTTTTGAAACTTGTTTAGGGGTAAACCCCAGGATCAGAAACTTATCCACCATTCCTGCAATCGACCAGCTAACAACTATAAAATAACCGATAGTAAGCTTGTCCCTAATTGGTTTAACGTACATAAGTCATGTCAATTAGGGCACAATGGATAAAAAACCAAAAACAATAAAAGGTCGTGGAAGAGCATTATTAAAACATGACAAAACAAAGACTTTTTTTCTAAAAATCTGTATTTATTTTAGCCTGAAAACATGACATAGGAAAACAAAAAAACAAACAAAAAAAACTGCAAAGAGCACTAAACCAGAGGAAAGAATCGATCCTCTTTAGCATTGAGCAGCTAATATCTCCTACGATCCCCAGTGCTACGTAAAAACAGCCATTCTCATGGGATGGATGGGAAACCCTCCAAGTATCCCATCATTTCATTGAGCCATCGGGACACTTGCCCAAATATGACCTTGGATGAGTTTCCACACGTCGTCACGAGAGACGCCATTGTTTAAATGCGGTGAAGGA